TTGGTAGCCACTTTTCAACATTTATTCTGGCTCTTTGAAGCCCAACAGATTTATGATTACTATAAGCAACAACATTAAAAAAATATTTATTTATTAACTATATATATAGTGTTCTTCCTACATGTATGCCTGCACATCAAAAGAAGGCACCAGATTATAGATGGTTGAAAGCCACCATGTGGTTGCTGAGAATTGAACTCAGGACCTCTAGAAGGACAGCCAGTGCTCTTAACCTCGGAGTCATCTCTCCGGCCCAAGCAACAACATCTTAACAAAACTTGAAGCTTAGATTTTTTAAATCTTAATTTGTCCCATTTGCTTTCTAAATTTCACAGAAGCCAAATCTTTCTGATTAAAAACACATTTTAAACTGAATTAACTATCAGCTCTCATCACAAAAACCAAAGCACTAGAAGGCAGCAACTTCATGGAGTGGAACCCACAGGGTTTCTTCCTGGAGTTAAGTGTAGATTTAAATGGTATTGTCTTTGGTCTCCCTAAGGATAAGAATATCCACTTTGACTTGAGCGTAGCTGAAACCCACAATTAGGTTCCTCAGGTTCATGCAGTCCCATCCTGCTTCCTCACCTTTCCTCTAATACAGGGTCAGGAAAGTAAACCCTAGGGGCCAAATTCAGTTGGCAACTGCTCTCTTGGTGTATAACATTTGAGGATTGTTTTCCAGGTTCAGGGAGAAAAACTGCATGGTGCAGATACCACCGACACTGAGAACCAAGGCCTGCACACTCGCAGCCTTGTAGTTACATAAGCCTGCATCAGTAACTCCCTCCACTTTCTCCACCTGCTGAGATGCACAGCCTCCAGAAGTTTCCACAGTACTGTGATGCTATGGAACCATCATAATCCCTATTTTCTTGTTCACTGTCTTTCTTGCTACTGTATCCCCAACTGCCACACCAAAATGTACTCTACATACTTCCTGACTGAGGAAATGTGAATACACAGATCTCTTGTTTTGAGACCACTGATGGGTAACGTGTATAAATATCTGTCTTCTTCCTCTGTGTGCCTTGAGGCAGGGATTTTGAATCTTATTTACCTTTGTTACCTCACTGATGAACAACATCACTGAGTTTAAGTAAGTCGTACAACTGTCAACTGTTATTTTCCAGTCTATCACATGGGGTCAGGTTAATATTAGGCGCAAATGAGATAATGATGAAAGAGCATGGGGTATACTGTTAGTGCTTCATAAATGCATGTTTCTTCTCTGTCTTCTCTATACTATTATTTCCAAGTTTTTGATGTCTTTATATATGTCACATCTTTCATCCTGTTTGCCTTCAGAAGTCAGAAATTAAGGCTCAAAGCAATTTTGCATAGGTCAAATGACCATTGAGTGATGACAGCAGAACTCATACCTTAATTTGCTGATTCTGTGCTCGGTGTCTTTTCCTCCCTGTCTCTAAGTACACAGGTAATAAATGGGGTTCGCATAAAACTAGACTGAACCAAGGGAGCACCAAAGTCACCATGTTTTCATTTTGACTATGGCTTTGAAATAGCAAAAGTCCAAATGGAATATCTCTCCATAAGGCAAGTTTGTGAAGAAAGAGTATAGGATGTTAAATTGGAGGTAAACTGTCTAAGGAAGTAGGATATTTGCATGTGTTAATGAGTTTCCCCACTGATGGCCTAGTGCAACAGACAGAGACTCCTGTTTTCCCGTGTGCTATCCCAAGAAGGATAGCAGCGGTATCCCAGCAGTATATTCTTCCTGTTATGAATAGAAACTATAGCCTGAATCTAGTAGTCATGTGTATATCAGGTAAGCCCCAAACGAGGGACGCTCAAGACAGAAGAATGGGGAGGAGTGCTGTGCTCTTTCAAAGTGTCACTGGCATCAGAGAGTGACAGAGGCCAGATCGAAGGAAAGCCTAGAAATAGGAGAACAGAGTACCTACTTCTAGACAGTGCTTTGCTAGGATGATGGCTGCCGGCATAGCTCAGTGGTGGAGCACTTGTCTAGAGGTTCTACATTCCGTTCCCAGCACCAGCAAAACAAAAGGGAACTGTAGAGCTGGGTGTGATGATGCATGCTTGCAATCCCAGCACCCCTGAGGCAAAGACAGGAGAACTGAGTTCAAGGCTGACCTTGGGATACATAATGAGCTCTTGCCTCAAAAAGTAAAATAAACAAATAAACAAATGAACAGGTAAAAAACTGGGCACAGATTATCTATTCAATAACATCATTTCAACATTCAATCTCAAGTTAACTCTATTTTAACAGCTTTATTTTTATATTTTTGGTCGTGAGCATAGCCTTTAATGGCTAATTCATCTCTCCAGTCCCAGCCTTATTTTTAGATGTACACTCATGAATTTGAGGCAAAGTGAAAGAATATATGCAACTCACTCCCTAATAGATAGATAAATGGAGTCAAACAGTAACAAAAGTGAAATATGAGCCAATGAATGAGAATGGTCTTTGCTCTGTTTCTATTCCTACAACTTAAAAAAAAACTTTAAAATTAAGTATAAGTAAAACGGACTTAAAAAGGAAACTAGGAGGACTGCGAAAGCTGAGTTTTAGTCCCAGGTATTTTACACTTGCTCAGCATTCACTGCTAGTGAGTACAGAGCAGATAGGAGCCAGGAACTATAGTCCATTCTCACCAATTAGATTCCAGGTGAGTTTTGTTCTTTGAAGGATGCCCTCCCCATGGGTCTTTAATTGTAAGAAAATACTGAGAATATTAGCAAAGCTCAGACAGTACCTTTATTCAGGAACACATTGAAACTTGGGAATGGTGGTATATGGATTTAAGGAGGCAGAGGCAGGTGCATCTTTGTGAGTTCAAGGCCAGTCTGTTTTTATTTTGTAAGACACTATCTCAACAAAACAAACAAGCAAACAAAAAAGTCACTTTGGTGAGCAGGTCAAGGAAAGGCCACGGAGCAGCAGATAGAGGCATGCGAGGCCCAGGGAAGCAGAAAGGAAACGGAAATCCAATGTGTAGGTCTGAGATAAAGACTGAGGGGAGACGAACTATGATCTGAGCCTTGACAGTGATGGACTTCCAGGGCTCAGGAGGAAATGTAAAACAGACCTAAAGGTTATTCATGGGTACTTCAAAGCGCAGAACATGAAGAAGGCACTACAAGGTCTGTTCTAGACTGCTAACAGCCTTATGGGATTTCAATTCAATACTAAACTTCAGGTACAGCCACCTGAGGTCAGTGGGAGAAGCCATTAGCACCCGATCTCTATGTGAATGAGATCATCCAAGAAACATGGGATGGAACAGGAGGTGGAACGAGCCATTCAATCCCCCAAGTCCCCAGTCTGGAGACAGAAATACCACTCAGAGAAAAATAGGTAAGTTTCAGCTTGCAATGGGCTCTTTTTGCTTCACTCAAGTGCTGTGGGATTTATTCCCACAGTAAGACAGCCACGCTTTTCTTCATAAATATGAAATTTCCTTTTCTTAACAAATTCATTCTAAATTTAGACCCCAAGTGAATTTTAGGAAGAAAGACAATGATAGATGAAATTAAATAATTTAAAATTCATTAATGGGAACAATACAAGCTCATCAAAATATGGTATTTCAGAAGGCAGACACTAATTACTTTGGGTGGTTGCTAGTCATCCGCAGGTTACTATCAGGCAGAGAAGGCAAGGAAGCTACCTTTGAGGAAAGCAGGCTGTGAAAAAGAGAGAAGGGACAGTCTCGCTACTCCCAGGACTGCTTTCTGTGCTCTCAAGGTAATGCTACTTCATGGCACTGGTGCCTTCAGGGTACCAGCCAGTGGACCTTTACAGTTCCTGCAGAGTCTCAGTTGGCTTAAAGATGACCAAATTCACAGAAAAACAGCAGCATAACACTGAGTGGCATAGGAGCCTCACTTCTTACCAATGTTACTGGCTTCCCTGCTACAAAATTCAATCTACAGGACAATTCCAGTTACCAGCATTACAAATGGTATCATCATGGAAAGGCATAAAACTCAGTATTCTACAAAACCCTGTCCTCCCCAATGTGGCCTATAAATACAGGGAGCTGAAAATTAAACAATACTGAGCCAGTGCTCAGTAGATATCCCCAGGAAACAAGCTAAAGAGAGGGTTTGGATGAAGTGGGCTTTCAGTGGACCCTAAAGATGAGGGAACATTTGTCTCACCCTTCCTCATGATGGGTTACTTATCTTCATTATTACTGAAAATAAGGCTTAGGAAATACAGCTGACAACTTAGGCCTAGTTTGATTATCTGGTAACAAGCAGTCTCACACATTCTGTTTTCATCATTTCCTGAGTAGGAATGGGTTCAGTAGCCTAGTGGTAGGAACAAGGACTCTCATCGCAACCAGACCTGAATTTGAGTCCTAGATCAACATGGGAAAATAGGTTAACTGTCTAGCCCTAATCACCACATTGTGCCATGTGAAATGAGCCAAAGATGCAACACTTAGTGCTCTGATCACAGAAGACCAAATGCTGAACGATTGTATTCACAGGATGGACTAAGAACAGGAAACACCAGGGAGACAGGTGTTTGCCAGGGGCTGGGGGAGAAAGAAGGGAAAGTTAGTGTTTAATTGTGTATGATTTCAGTTTGGGGAGACGAAGAAAAGATCCAGAAGAATGGTGGCAGTGTGAATATATTCATGCCATTGAATTGCATGCTTACAGATGTTGGAAATGCTTGTTTTATGTTATGCATTTTTTACCACAATTTTAAAGAGTCAAATTGACTCAAAATAAATGATGAGAATAATAATCATCCACAACAATGATGCTTTAATTGTTCATATTTAGTTCTAGTTCAGATATCCTAGTTAAAAAATTAAGAGGCTAATTTTAAAAAACCTAGTCCTAAGAGCAGAAGAGAAAAGAAACCATGTCTCTAAGGGAGTGCTCACGTCACAATCGCTTACTGAGGAATGTGATTTTCTTTCGTTGCCAAGACAGCAACTGTTGCTGTGGAAACCACACAAAAACAGGGATACTTAACTGAAACAAACTCCACTTACCTGCACAAAGATGCCCTTGCTCTTATACTCCTCATGGAGGCACTGAGAGAAGAAATCTACAAAAGCCTAGGAGGGAGGTGGGAGTGAGAAAGAAAACACATATAATATATTACATCAATCTGCCTGGAGCGTAGCCATGGAAACAACAAAATAATAAATTAACCATTTAACACTACTGTTTCTAGTCATTCCTTTCATTTCAAATGCAGAAGAGATAAAAATACCTTAACAACTCAGGAGGTTTTTCTACCATAAATGACATTATTTTACCAAATTCAATATTTAACCAATTTTGATTTAATAAAAGGTTCCCCACATACAGAAAATTATTTCCCCCTCAAAAGAAAAAAAATCATTATATAACAAAGGATGTACTTCCACTCTCTACTTGCTGCTCAAGCAGAAACCCAGAGTGAATTCTGTTCAGTTCTGCTTTGCTGCTGGGTCCTGTGACACAGCATGATTTGAGACATGAAGGTGAGAGCCCTCTGATAACACAACTGTAAATTCATCTGTAAATGGTGCAAGCTATTTTTCAAATGTGGATGCAGTATCAGGCTTAAAATGCCAAGTTTAACGACAACCCAATGAAGGTCTCCATTGGCAACAGTCTACCTCCATGAGAACACACCAGATAATGGAATTAACGTAAGATATGTCAACATGTTGACAGTATGTTCTAGCCATAGAGAAGGTAGGCAGATTAGGGGCTGTCAGGCTGTGCCAAGTCTCAGAAGACTGATTTTTCTCAAGAGGAGGTGTGTTTTGCACTTTCCCTTCTCTGCCATACTATAAGTTCTTTTTTTTTTTCTTCAAGTTGGAGCCTGTCCTAGAACTTGGTCTGTAGACCAGGCTGGCTTCGACTCACGGAGATCCACCTGCCTCTGTCGCACGAGTGCCGGGATTAAAGGCATGCGCCACCAATGCCTGGCTTACTATAAGTTCTTACTATGTATTATGATTTGCCTATTTTCCCCTAAAGGCTTACTACTTTAAAACAACTAAATGGTTGTTCTTTTCTCTTCAGAAATATTTTCCATGCTTCAATGAAGTATATAGTTGGGGCTACTGACCTGTAGACAGCAGAAGATGTAGTCTAAATTATTAACCTAGCAGTAATATAAGGAAGTGAATGTCAAGGCTGTATGATGACAGAGTATACAGTTCTGGAAAATTCCTATCACACTCTAGAAGTGACAGCATCTATGAATTCTGGATAACGTGGCAGAATATTCACACTGCCATTGGTCTATTTCTTGTCTGCTGAATTTATGTGTGGTACTAGCAGGATGCATGCCCTTGTTGTGTGAGGTTGACTTGTTTATGTTACCAATACTCTGACTTTAGACTCATTAGTATCAGGTTCTATCAATTGGACAGACTGGCTTAGGCTAGGTCTCTATGGAAAGCATAAACGTCCTTGTTAAAACCAACAAGCAACCAGGGAACAAAAACAGTGGCTGTGATACTCCATAAGTCTACATCCATCTGTGGTATTCCAGAAACCCATGTGGGGCATCTTCTTGTCCTTCTTAGTCCACTGGAAAACTACCAAGCATAGCATTTCAACAACAAAGTTGACTATGTTAACTGCTCAGACTAAAAATCACAACTCAGCCTTATACTGACATATTTACTGCAATGCTTTTCACCTTGGTTGCAGAGTAAATGGTCAAGAGTGGAATTGGGAGCATGCCAGTGGCAGATGAAATGTTGACAATCACCCCTTTAGACCTAGAATTGAAAACACACCATGTAAACACATTTGCTTTTGAATTATAGTCAAGACAGAAACAGAGCAAGCAGGCTGCTGCTACACGTCTCCCTGCATCTCATGAGCACGTGGTATGTCTGGCCAGTGAATGAAGCATAATTCAATGAACTAAAAATAGCTCTTCTTTACAATGAGCTCATTTCCCAGTTTTAGTAATCCAAAGCAGGACTGGATCATCTAGTTAGTCTCTTTTAGTTGCCTCTATACTTTCTAGAGTCCTCTGTGGCCACAATATCAAAAATTCTCACTTACGTAGTGGGGGATGTAGTTTAGTGGTAGAATGCTTGATTAGTCCATGTGGAGAGGGCATTGAGGTCAATCCCAGCAGAGAAAAAGTAAACTAACACCCACACAGACACCTCTGCTCTGACACATTGTTACACTGCCTACTGCAACAGTCCATTATGTATTGTAAACACTTTCCTTTCAACAAAGTTTTGAGCTTCTAGACACCAAAGCTCACTTTTGTCCACACACAATCAAGTATTTCATAAACTTTTATAACAATGGATGACATCTTTATAACTTAGCTAGGCTGTGAATATTTGGACAAAGAGCTAATTTGAAAATTATATTTCTGTACTTTATTAACTACATTGTATTGCCAAAAGACAAAGTTCAACATCTTCCTGTTTTTTAGAGACTATTGAAAGTTAAGAGACTGACTACTAGAAATTTCTGTTTTCACAAATAAATGAAATCAGCTTGTGAAAAACAACGCTGTAAACACCCCAGTTGTCAACAAGCATAGATGAATTATGACTTTAGAAATATGAACACTAGCTACCAACTTATTCTCTCAAATGCATGCTTCTCAAAGGCACACTGGGAATAGAACCCAGGGTCTTACCCATTCTGGGCAAGTGCTCTACTAATCGACCTACACTTCAGCCCAGCCCCTCTTCCCTGGCTACTGAAACCTCACCCCACCCACCTCTGGTTCACACCTCAGTTTCTTCCCTTCTACACAGTCTGCTGTTGTTCTCTGTCTGGATTTCTGTTCCTAAGTTCTGTTTATTTTTGTTTTTGTTTTCCCTTTCTATTTCATGGAGGGAGGAGAACTCTAGACCGCTTTTATGTAAAACAGCACAGCAAACATGATTAAATGGCATATATGAGCTATTTTAGAATAAATCTAAAAAGAAATAATCCCCAAAGGTCACCATTCCATCTGTCAGTCTTTAGGCAAGATGCCACTGCAACTATCAAAGGGAAGTCTGGGCCTTCTGCTTCATTATGTGTCACCAGAGACTAGTCAGTTGTTTAAAAACAGAAGTCCTTATTAGTAACACACACTTTCCTAAATAGTGAAATTCACTAACATCTTGGTGATAAAAATAAAATTTCAAATTTAAGAATGATATTAAGTTTTTTTCTTTAAGGTAGAAGGGACTAATGTATTAGTTACATCATCCTTATATTGTTATCTTATTTTTAAGGCAAAAAGAGATTTTTTTTAAAAATCAGGAGTTAGAACTCAGCCCTTTTAGATAAAAGAAAATGATAAATTAGCAATAAAAACTTAGTCATTTCATTTTATACACCTATAAGAAATTCCTTTGATGAAAGTGGAACAAAACAATTTTTTATTATAATCAAAGATGGTTCCCTTGATAAAATACAATAATAACTATGTCTTCAAAATTACCATGTTAGGGTGTTGAAAGTGTTCCTGAATTAGACTGCAGTGACAGCTGTCCAGCTCTGACTATGCTGAAAATGACTGGACCACGCAATTTAGACAAATGTGTAGTTTACATGTAAAATAAGTCAACAAATCTGTAAAACATGAGGAAAATCTGTTTATCTTAGAACATATAACCTTTAGGCTGGGTGAGTGCACAGAGCTGCGGCTACTCAGGCCTCCTGAGGAACAACTCCAACCTCACAATCACTCTCCATTACCCCTTAACCAGGAACTGCTCCATCCTCACCTATACACTGGAAGGTGGGAGAAAGCCTGTCTGAAGTAGATGCAGGTGATTCTGTCCCTGAAGCTGCAGCCTGCCACTTAGAGCCTGCTTAGAGCCAGACTGTTCTGTCACAACTCTGCTAGCTGTGGTGGCTGCATATACCCTTGAACCAAAGTCACATTTTTAATTCTGTTACTCACAAAATGATATACAGAGTTTAAGGTAAAGGTTTAATGCTATGGCTTCAACAGAGGAAAAGTCATTTGAAGATAATAAAAACTCTTTTCCCATTTTACAAAATAATATCAACAATCTAACATGTCACGATGATGAAGTCATTCTTTTACTTACTTCTTGAGGTAACTAAGATCTTTGTTTCTCAAATATTCTACTGTGATTGAATATTTCTAGGATTTGGAGAGATGGCTTGGCACACTGAATGTTACTGTAAAGACCTAGGTTCTGTCACCAGAACCCACATGGAAGCTCACAGCTATCTATAACCTCAGTGAAAAAGAATCAGTGTCTTTCTTGGCATATACATTGGCCTTTCTTTCTTTATTTTTAATTAAAAATAAATAAAAATCCAAAAGAAGAAAAATGAAGAGGAGAGAAGAAGAAAAGAAAGAAAATTACTAGTGGGTAGAGCTACCAGGTCAAAATTTGCAAGTACTTCATAAAAAATAAAGTATTTATATTTCAAACTACGTTAAAACATATTTAAGACTGTCAAAGTACTATATAAAATGAGAATGCACTAGATGTGAGTAGATAAACACACAGTCAACTCATATTTGTATCTGAAAGACAGCAGAGAAAGCACTCCACCTGCCAGTCTGTCAAACTGTTGGCAACATGCATATTTGTCTATCAAAGACCTTCCTATGACCCCCAATAACAGCACTAAAACCTCTCTCCTCCAAGGAAAAAATATTCTGTTTCATTTTGTTTGCATCCCAAATCCAACACTAATATTCCCTGTCACAATCTCTATAATGTATGTCCTCATGCAGAAGTGGGGGTAAACATTTGGGACAGGGGGGGCACAAAGGACTCATCTTTACAATTAACTACTTTGTCTAGCTCTAATACTCCATCTAAGCAGAATTAGTGACGTCAAACCAGTTTCCATGGTACAGCCGGGCTCATGACAACTCTGTTATATCAAGCAGAAGGGCAAAATAGGCTACGCTTAATTGCACACAGAGACAAACATAAGCCAAGCTGGTTAATCTCTCATTTTCTGGAGGCTTGGGAACAATGGAAGCACATTAAGAATTTCTGCTGAAGTTCTATTATTTTTTCTCAATATATGTTTTTATTTAAATTAGAAACGTGAATGTTTCACATGTCAGACCCAGCTCCCTCTCCCACCCCTCCTCCCTTGTCCCTTCACCAGCCCCCTAGCATCCCACCCAATCCCCACATCATTCTCCGTGAGGCCCTCCTTGGGGGGGGGGGATCTCTAAAGTCTGTCATTTCATCCAGGGCAGGACCTAGGCCTTTCCCCATGTGTCCAGGCTGAGAGAGCATCCCTCTATTTGGAATGGGCTCCCAAAGCTCATTCATAATGAAGTTCTATTATTGAAGATCCATGTTTCACATACTTCAACACCTTTCCTAGTTTGTTGTGACAACATCAACTAAACAAATAAAGCAACATTTTCTGTGATGCAATATTTTTAACTGATCACATTGTTTACTCACTAGCCATCATGTGATGGTGACTTGGAGGTACAGATTATTGAGGATCTACAAGAACTAAAATGCTGCAGAAACAAAGCAGAATGATCAACTCCACTTTAAGGACATGCCTCTTCATCTCCACAGTCACCCCCTTATTAGTCCTCCCAGAAGGCAATCAATAGGCTTGTCCAGTCCTGTAAAATTCAACAGCTTACAGTTTCCTTACAGCTGAGCTCTCTAGGATTCCCTTAGACTTGGGCAACGCCACCATGAGACTCCTTTGAATTGTCACCTGAATTAAAAAAAAATTGCCAGGCTTTGTTCTATAAATACCTCACTCTTCTGTCAGGGTCTTGTAGCATCCCTGTCCTCACTGTCCTCACCTCTATACAAATACTGTCGCCGTGGAGGAATAGTTTCCTTTGAAAGAGTCACTAATTCTGGCCTGACTCAGGACCGGAGCATTGCCCCACCCTGCAGCAGAGGGAAGAAGGAAGGGGAGCCAGAAGGTCAATCAGTGGAGATTGCTAACCAGACACAGAGTTGTGAAATACAGACTCCACCTCACGTCTTTACATTTCCACTACACATGAGAGAAGACAGAAATGCACTCTTGCAGGGTCATTAAAGAATTTTCTAAGCTTAGATGGAAAAACGGAAATTGGTGTAGACAGTTCTCTAATTGACTCCTAAGAACACAGAAAAACTATCAAAACAGAGCTCAATGTCAGAAAAGAATTGTGGAACATGGGGTCAGGCATACATTTAGAGACAGCAGTCAAATGCTCACACTATACAAATATTGCTTTGTTGAAGAAGTTTGCAAACATTTAACACATGAATGAGAATTACCTGCCCTAAAACACCATAACATGTCATAATTCCACCTTAAGCAGTACAATATGAAAGAGGCTATTTTTAGCCTTTCCATGGTTGTTATAGCAACCACCTCCCGGCTCCAGCTGTACACAATGTTTATAATTCCAGGGAAGTAGAGAGCAAGTTTCCTGATAATGTAATTATGCACTTTCTATATGTATGGTGATAATACATTAGTCTGATTATTGATACTTGTTTAGTGATGGTTGGTTATAGTTCTAGAAGGTTTGGACAAATCGTATGCCTTAGAGATAGAATCACTGAAAGGGAAGAGGGTAAAGAAACCAATAACAAAGGGCTCTTTCTAAAGGACAGTGCTTCATTCTAGCTGCTCTTTACACCTCCCCAAGGCAGCCTATTTCTATAGTAGTTTCCATAGGATTGGTATTCTCATTGAGTAACGCACTTAAAGACTGATGTTGGAGCCCCTAAATGGAAGGTGCCTGAGATTCCTGACGGACTAAGTAGAGAAATAAGGGGAAAATAAATCTTTACCCTGATAAGCCATGAAGTTATGGGTTAATCTATTACTGCAATCAGCACGTATTTACTAATATACTCACTAACTCCTAAAACTCCACTGGACATAAATGTTCCTTTTATCACAAAGTACTGATTAGTAAACTCCACACCACAAGCACCATTCCCCCTCCTCTGATCCCAGTTTTCCACAGCTTCTGTTGGCTTCTTAACTGCAGTTTTAAATTAACTTGATTTCTTAAAAGGCAAGGATTGAACTCATCTGGATTCTCCAAGCTAAGCTCTCCTGGATGAGCATGAATTCCCCTCTTCATGCTGTTCCTTCATATCCAGGGTCAGCTGTAACCAGTGGCATTGCCAAGTCAGAGATGGCCCTGAGTATCTACACCTGCCTCTGCATCATGTGCTTCATGGCCCCCCTTCTCATTGAGTCTTCCGCTGACCTAAACAGGGTGGAGTTACCTTCAATTAACGCAATACACTGTGCTTGTCATTGCATGCATCCAATACTTTCTGCTCCAGGAAATGACTTCATAGCCGTTATTTCCCTTTACATACTTTTCACCAATACACTTTTAAAATTTTTTCATAACACTTCTATGGCATACAACTTTGATTTCCTTATTATTTATTTATTCACTTATAGTGTTAGAGATAGAACCCAAGGCACGCTAGGCAAATGATGTAATACTGAGCCCCTACTCCAAGTCCAAAGATTTCTTTATAATGCCGTTTGCAGATCTCTAAACTCCAATTAAGACAGTGGCCAAATTTCATCCTTACTGGATTCTACTCCATCTCTCCTAATGTTCTGATACGGCTTGATTACTGCCATTTATTTTCATGTCCTACCTTTGGAAGCATACCCCGACTGTCAGTCAATAATCAGCTTGAAGGCTTTAAAGGGTAACTTTACTAAAGCAATCAAAATATACAACCAATACATGTAGAACAGAAATACAACAAACTTTGCTGAGAAAGTTTCTTAATAAGTCATTGAATGTGATCAACAAATGGACTTTCTATGCCACAGTTCCTCACCCACAAGGTAGAAAGAGGTACAACATATGGAGGGATTTGATATGCATAAACTGCATGCCTTGCTGATCTTTTAACAGAAGTGTGTCCTGGATTCTTCCCCTGTCAAAGCTGATGGAGTGCTAAATTATAATGACAAACTAGTCCAACATTCAAACCCAGCTCTCTTCAGCAGGTTTTCTTCGAATGCTTAGGCAACATTTAGATTCTTCTGAGAAGGAAACAGAATTTAGTTAAAATTTACACTCAGTGCTGTCTCACATGTGGAAATGCAACCACATATTTCTCAACAAAAGTGAAGACATTTAGGATATTCTACTGGCTCCCAATTACAACTGGAACATTGAAAAGACTAGTAGACTTTGCCTTTTCCTCCAAGAGTCAGTCTGACACCTGGTCACTTCACACCATGCCTTAGTCCCTCAAGCATTCGTTCTCACAGCAAGAATGAAAATACCAGAGGAACGCATCTTACTCCAGGACACTCTACCAATTTAGACTCTAAGTGGCTACAGCTTTAAGGAGGGATTCCAAGGAATATCCCAGGAACTCTATCCACCCCCTCAAAATAGCTGGCAATTGAGTTAGTGATGGTGACTCAGGCTGGCTTTTTAATCCTGATCTAGAGGAACCACCACAACCCTAGAGAGGGAAATAAAAAAGTCTAGTGGAAAAGGCCTCCTCCACCAATGACTCATGCTACACTGTGTGATTCGCCTGGTGCTAAGACAGAGTTAGGTTCATTAGTCACTTTAATGAAATTCTCAAAGAAAGGATTCTCCCTATAAATAATAATGAGCTCTGCATCCACAGTGTTTGTGTGTGAGCGTGTGACTCACCTTTCTACCATGCCAGGCAATACCAAGCGTGTCACCTGCAAGAAAAAACAAAACATTCATGATGGCTGAAGACATAGGCAACAAAAGAGTGAAGGCCACTCACCCACACCAAAGAGAAGGAAATCATGAATCCACTCATCACTCTACAAAGAGAAGCATATTTTACACATGCCATATAATTTTACTGTGCTAGGAATATATAAGGAGAGCATACTGGGAAAGTTTTCAGTGAACATGGCTAAGATTAGCCTTGTCTGAAAAATAAGGCTGATATGGGCACCTCAAATAACAAAGACTCTATGATAAGTGGACATCTAATAAGCCCTTCCCAGAAAAGATGAATGTTATTACATGTAACAACATCCCACATACCAAGATGAATTAGGTTTTCTAATATTAAGAGCTCAAACAACATTTTCTGATCAAAAAAGGCTTTGGGGAGGGAGAATGCTAGCAAATGACATTTGACAAATAGTAAGTGCATTCACTGTTTTCTGTGGTCCAGTTAGCCGTAAGTAAATGCATTCTTAACCTTAACACTTGTGGTCGTTATTGAGGAACAGTGAAAAGGTGACATATGCAGTTTAACAACTTCATAATTACTGGCAAAATGCATACAATGATGAGACATGCTGCTAGTGAACTGTCTGGGATAGTATTCTCCAAGAAAAGTTAGAAGTGTAATCTTTGTCAAGATGACCTCACAGTTAAACAAGTCTTGACTCAGCTTGGAGCAGTTCTTTAAGCAACACAAGAAGCTGAAATACTTGGTAAGCATAGACATTTTAAGCCTTTTATCTTGAATAATATCACACACCAATTAAAATGACAGCATTTTGATAAAAGATTGTTTTTCACAGAAATACTCTGAAGAAAAGGTCACTGAAGACTTTCGGCATTAAAGTGTGCTATGTAGGGGTACAAAGGTCAGCTCTAGAGATGGTCATGCACTCAATGAGTGAGCTCAAGCTATCACTATATCATAAAAAAACAAAACAAAAAAACCCAACCAATATCAGAGCAAAAGACTATCTTCAGAGTTTAGCAGAAACATTTCAACAGAAGTAAAGATTTGACCAAATCTTCTGGCCGAGATGAAAAAGGAGAAACTGTAAGAGCAAGTGCAGACTGGAACTTCCTATATCCCCTCCTTTTTACACAGTCTTTGTTTCACAGAACTCATAGGTCAGAAGGCAGGACAGTCAGCTGTCTTTCAGCATTTGTTCTTTCCTGAAGATGAAGTTTCAAAGCACATAATCTCTTTCCCACTCTTGGTACCTCCCATAAAAAACATGTTTTACAATTTCTCTGAAAACTGCATGTGGCCTATAACTATTTCATGAGAAGTAGGACACACAATGTCTTGGTCATGGACTCAGAAGAAGAAAATAGCCTGTCTTCTCCACCATCTTCGTCTTTATAGGTAGAATGAGGTAGGATGACAGGATAAGAGGCAAGATCCCTAATGATTGAGGAGCTACTGTGCAGCACTCTCAGCACCTGCTCCAGTAAGCACCCTGATCGCTACTTTCTCTGACTCCAACACATGACCCGTTTTGATTCTGATTATGTCCTGAAACTACTTCTGTTACAAGACTTAACCAATATCTCTTTTTGCTTGCTTTGCAGTGTTGGACATGAACCTTGAGGCCTTTGGCACATACTAAGCTGGTGTATGCCACTGCCCTAAAGTACCCAGCCCTTTAACCAAAATTCTAACTAGCAATATTGGTCATTTATGTTGGTAAAGAAGGACCAATGTTAACATTTTATGAACCCTCCCCAAAAGAACAGTCCCCTCCATTTTTCTCGATTTGCCTGATCCAAATCAAAATGTTGTTGAGCTTCAAACTAGATGTGATAGAACCAAGTCAAAGTAAGGCTGACTTCAGAGTCTGTTTTTCAATGCAGTTGCTTTCTCCTTTTCAGGTTAAACACAAATTTCAACTTTGCTGATGTGTTTCCCAAGATTTGTCTTTCCAGAGGCAAACAACAGCTGTTTAATACATAACCAATGAATGTTAAGGCAACTGTGGTGTGCACTCTGGCCATAATTTCAGTCCTTCTTATAACAATGTGACTGAGCTAGGTTCTTCTTCCCTAAAGTCCTAATATATTAAATGAAGATTTAAATACATGTTATTATATTCCTAACTTATAATAAAGATGTGTGAGAGACCCCACAAACAGCACAACACAGAGACCTCTGAAGGGACACTGGTGTCCCTCACAGTCATACTGCACTACCCTTTTAGCCTCCAATGCTACCCTTAAGCATGTGTGTCCCATAGTTTAGAACCAAGAATAGTAACACATTTCAAGATCATCCATTTCAACTGACCATACAGAAGTTTCTGGACAATTCTTCCAGTATTTTAAAAATATTTCATTTGGGAACTCCTTGGGGTAGTAGAATAATTCTAAGATTAGGTTGTCATAACTATTAACACTCTTTATATTTATCCAAAACAAACAAACAAAACTTGAATACTCAGAACAGAAGAATTTTACAAATTCATAAATTTTTAGGAGACCACTATAATTATGTGGCTAAGAAACAAGGAACTGGAATCATAAAGTACTCTTGATGTGACTTTAGCAAACTCAGAAGATAAAGACACTCTATAATATACTCTCTTCATATCAATCAAAGAGTCGGGAGCAACACCCATCCTTCTGTTTTATCTGCAGTCACCAGAGTGGGTAGAAGAACTCAGGACCCAAAACAGGATACCCCTGTGAGCAGACAGAGGACACTGGTGCTTAGGAATAGCAGCAGTTACAAAACAGGCAGAGCTTCATAGATTATGCTTTGGTTAAGTTATAAAAGCATAAGCAGGATTTCAGTGGGCAAAAAATAAATGCCAGGAGAAACTGAATGAAAAAAGGCAAACTGTGAGAAAATATGATGTATGCTATGGAATTCCAGACTTATTTGATAGGTTTAACAAATAACAAAATATAGAGATGTAAAATATATATACAACTGGTTAGATGTGTCATGTAGCTTGCATCTGTAGAAGACTTGATTGTGTCTGCCTGTGCATGTATGCATGTGCTTACACGTGCATCCATATATATTAAGGAAATGAGACCTGTCACCTGCATAGTAGCTATGTGGAGTCCAGCTGGTTAATACTTGCTGTAGCCTTCCTACACACATGGTGGTGTGCACGTGTATGAGTGAGATTTGTAGGCACCAATTAACCCGGAGAATTACCAGGCAAGCTCAACCAGAGTTTAACTTTTGGTTGGTATATTAGGGAGCTATAAATCAGAAACTATATTTTTCCTTTATGCCATATCATGCTTCTGTTCTAGATGAAAAATTATCCAGAAGATGGTCAGAAACAATGTGAAACCTCACATAATATAATCATACTTACAAAAGTATATCAACAACATGTTAATAATTAAATGCATTTTTGATGACCTTATATGTACTGACATAACTAAATATATTCTTTATAAATGTAAACTAAAATGAGAAGTTTGAGTAGCTCAACTTTACTTGGGCACATGTATACATATCATTTAAAAATGTTCAACATACAAGTCGACAGACTTAACTGTATTCACATTAAATTAAATTCTCTCTAACATGAGATTTACACAGGACTTAAGTCTCGTTTTACTTTCCATTTATTGACTAGTACCTTAATATATGGGTATCTATACCCATGTACCAAGCATGTTATGAAATCTCACTGTACATCTGCACTCCATTTCACAGCTCACATGGTGTTTCTGTGTTAATTCAACATGCTAATTTTAGACCATTTGTAGGTGATAATTACTGTGCCAGGTAGTTTGTTGTTTCTCTTTACATATTTCTAAAATGATATTATCACAACTTGTGAGTTTGGTGGTTAAGAATATTAGGCAAGTAATAATAGTAAACGTGACTTCTAGCCTTTTTTTCTATTCATTCGAGGCTGCCTGGACAAATGCACAGAAAGCAATTTTAATTCCATTCTGTGGTGGTTTGAATGAGAATATCCCCTATAGGCTCATGTATTTGAACACTTACTCCCCTGTTGGTGCTGTTGTTTGAGGAGGCTTAGGAGGTATGGCATGTTGGAGGAAGTATGTCACAAGAAGCAGCTTTGAGGGTTTAAATGACTGTGCCATTTCCAGTTTGCTCTGGGTATGGTTCAAGCTGTGAACTCAGGCTAAGAATTCACTGGCCAGCCCTTTATGTCACACTTTCATACAATGATGGATTCTTACTCCTCTGGAACTATAAGCTCAAATGAATTCCTTCTTCTATTAGTGATGCCTTGATCATGGTGTTTTATCACAGTAACAGAAAAGTAATACAGTTTTCCCCAATTGGATGGAAGTTACCACAACAGAACTTTTATGATAATGACAGCTTCAAAGATTGTAGGAAAAAGGTGTTTCATAATTACACATATACATTTTTAGTAATGTTTTCATTAATACACATTACAAAATAAGACAAAGACACTTTAAAGTCTAAAAAGTTAATACACATCGTCTCACATGTAGCTCTAGTATCACTTCGTAAGTGGCATATAGTACATAAGTGTACATAGATACATGAATGACTTCTTAACAGCTTAAGTTTGAATTTCTAGGAGGAAGCCACATATTCATTTTCAAGAGTGAAATATTTACTTGTACAGATTATTTATATTTTGCCTAGGAAAGAAATATGAAGTTCATTTACCTCATACAAAATCATAATCAGTATTATTAAGTCACTTAGTTGAGATCCATAACCCAAAAATAAACTGGCTGGCCTAGAAAATCCTTGAAAATGTTGTATTAAAATGTAGCCATCTGTGGCCAGGATTATACAGGATTTATTTTCTTCTTAGTGCTCATATAGCTTTCAAATATTTTTGGTAACAATCTTGCAGTGTTTTTATAATTAGTAAAGTCCTCACAATTTTATTTCTTAAAAAAAAAAAGAAACAAACAAACAAAACTGCCAAAGCCTAATATGACGATTTTTTTCTTTATTTTTACAGCAGCAGTCCCTGCTGATAAAAGGAACCTACAGGCCCAG